ACCAATGGGTTGCTTCCACCGACATGCTAATATCTAAGATTTTAGATGCAGGCTGTTAAATTCAAATGCAAGTTTTTTAACATCCCTATGTATTACAATATTCAAAAAAAAATAATTTTTATTTTTTTTTTTACTTGCATCACATATCCAGTATTCACTGAATGACGTACACTTTTAAACAGAAGAAAGATGTGATCATATCTGTAGGAGGCAGGAAATTCTGATGGTACGATCATCTTAAGCTACAATTTTTATAGTATTGCTGTTAGGTTTACAGATCTAAACTGCGTTATGTTGAAATGTCTGAGTTGAAACGGCAAAATAAGAAATTATCAATTATGGGGCAATTTTTTTTTTTTTTTTTTTGAACAATCTCTTCAGTCTTGCTTAACTTTCTCTATAGAAGCTGCTTTTATAGTCTTATTTTTCTATTATGATATTTCGGGAAGCTGTGTTCTCATGTTTATCATTATCCCCAGGCTATCATGATTACAGGGTTCCTGCGGGTCCTTATAAAGTCTTAAAAGGCATTGAATTCTTCAAAATAAAACTATGGCCTTAATTGGTATTAAAAAGTCTTTCGTAGGTCTTAATTTTTAAAACATAAATAGGACTATTTTTATTACGATTTATTTTTGTAATCTAAATAAAACGTTAAAATTGACAATTTTTTTTTATATAAAAAAAAATATAACGGCTCCGCATTATTGGTTCCGTCCCGATAGCGGAACCAATAAAAGCGTTGTTGCGGCCGGGACATTTGGGAGATGCACCATTAACTTTTTGTCTGGAAAATATGATCAAGTGTAAATGTAACCAAAATTGTCTCCAGCCAAGAGTTTTCTCCATGGCTAAAACCAGGGAACATACATGAGGCTCAGTGGATTTTGTGCAAGAAGCGATTCAAGCTAGGAACGATGGGAATTAAGGCAGTGGAGTCGCACATGCGAAGCACGAAACACAAAGCGTCAAAATGGAGTTACAGAGAAACAGCCGGTATTTCTCAGTTTAGTTCCACCCTTGTCTCTGCAACGCCTCCACTTATCACCAAATCAAACATACTAAGAAAACCATACAAAGAAAAATAGCTGCAAAAAAGACTTAGCACTGGTTATGTTGGGGCTTTAAAACTGATTTGCTTTGTTCCCTGCTAAAACAAAGTTTGTGAATTCAGTTAAATAATTGTTAAAGTATATCTGTCATTTGTGTGTTTTTAGCTTTCTTCCTGTATGGGAAGCTTTTCAAAATGTGAAACATTAGTGCAGTGGTTTATTTCAAGTGGCATTAAAAAGTCTTAAAAAGTCTTGAATTTAACTTGCCTTATGCTGTAGGAACCCTGGATTAGAATCAGTCCTAGATCTCTAATCTCTAAAAGGCTTCATAATAAAAAAAGAATAAAAAGGATAGCTACATGCTAATTCTTAAAGGACTTCTTCATTCATTTTTTCATCTCTAGGTGCTACGCTGCACAGCCGTTACATCTGTGGCGTGATAGTAGCTCAGACGCAGAAGCAGGCTGTGTAGTTGGATTTATCCCGGGGAAAAAACAGTAATAAAGCATGACATTTATTTATCTTAAATTATATCATTATTAGGATCAGTATATAATCTGACATTGAAACTGCAGATTTAAAGGACTTTGTGTCACTGTCTCGCTGCAGTGTGATTAATATCTAAAGGGTAGTTTACCCTGTGGTGCTCCTGATAGATTGGGCCTATCAACAAGCCAGCAACATCTGTCGTCCAAATCAAATTCTCTAAATCCGTTTATGTCGCCGTGAAAGCGCTGAGATTGTGCTGATGTCATCCTCTTATCCTCAGCCATGAAGCATCGCTCCTCTGAATGCGCCGTAGATGCATGGGGGATTAGTCGAAGGGAAGGACATGGATGCTGCCTGTAGGATGTGATCAGAATTTCAGGTCATCTGCGCTGGAAGAGGATCTAAACAGAACTTATTAAATATTCAGCCTCTTTGGGGTTTTCTATGTTCTGAATAATTTATTCCGAACACGTTGGTGTTCGCCATAAAAGCCACAGAATAGCAGCAGGAGGTATGAATGGGATGACAGAAAGTTCACCAGCTCTGTAAATACAAATTAGTAAATTATCGTTAATGGTCTGTTTGCTTTTCTTTTTTTTAGAGAGATTTTACATTGTTTTCATAGCTTTGGTTTGTTGGTTACACTTTGTGACACCAACATAAACATGAAGTCTCTATGATTGTTTATCTTTTTTCATTAAGTAACATCAAGTCATTTATGACAGATTTTGACATAGTCTAAAATGTAATTGTTATGGTTTTTCTTTCCTTTTTTTTTTACATTAACATAAAAGAATATTTCTGCGTAAGAACAACTTGGAATCTGGGCTGGATGACATGGTCAACACTTATATCATGTTTTATATCTTAATTGTGGTCAGTGTGCTTCCTCTCATCCATTTAGCCTCCGGTTTTATGACCTGCAGTAGCTTTGATTCTGCCCACAGAGCAGAGGTGGATTATTCTAACCTGACAACAGCCAGATGCATGTCTAGCTCCGCCTAGCTCCACTCACATACATCTGGGACACCGCCATAGGAATTGCCTTTACTGAAGGCTGGGCCTTATCAAAACTCCTTGCATATGATTGGATAATCCACTTGACTGTCATCTTTTTCGACATGCTATTTCAACCACTCACACCGAAGCTAACCCGTGACGCTGTGAGAGCTACGCAGGAAAAAAACTAAACAGAACAGCCGACATCTTGGATATAGCAACAGTGGAATCAGCGCAATGTCGGTAAATGATCAATGTCGTTTGTGCCATGAAAATGTCCGGATAAAAGGCAACATTGTGCACAGCAGACTTATTTTAAAAAAAAGAAGCCAACCAAAAAAGTATAGACGAACAACTTACAGAACTCGCTTCTCCACTACGTCACATCCAGGAAACACCCGCCCTGCGTCCTGATTGGCCAGACCATAAATTCGGTTGGGGAAATCACTTTCAATGAGCGGTTTCCCAGATGTATGTGAGTGGAGCTAGGCGGAGCTAGACATGCATCTGGCTGTTGTCAGGTTAGGATTATTCAGCTCCACAAAGTAAAAATCCTGTGCAGAGATCGGTTCCAACTAGTTTAATTTCTAGCTCCATAACAGACTTATCACCAGAGTAGCTAATCACCTGGTTAAGTGAACAGGATGAAGGAAAACAAGTCAGGATATTTACGTTCTGGATCCTGATTATCCACCTCTGCCACATAGCTACCACACAAAGCATCAGTAGCCAAACAGAAGTTCAATCTGACACACCCAGCAGCCTGTTGATCTACAAGTTAACTTCTCTGAAGGATCCTGAACTGAATCAAGCTAATAGAATATAATCTTTAACACTGCATTATTACATCTCTGCACCTAAACACCTGCAGCTGCGCTACGACTCGCAGCATCAACCAGCTGTTATGGCTCCATAACGTGTTGCTTTCTAACAAGACTCCGCCAGATGGATTTGCTCCGCATATCCATCTGGAAACCTTCCGTTAAAGTAATTTTGGGAAGGGGCGAAAATATTGTTTAGCTGATTGGCCTATGTTGGTGATAGACGGGCCAAATAAACCAATCAGATCAATGAAGCATATAACGTACTAACAGAGCGACGACGAAAACACAACCACAAGCCAGGCACAAGGCAATTAATAGATCAAACTCTTGCTGAAACCAGTCGGGAGAAGAGCAAAAACATCTTTTCCTCTGAGAAAAGCCTCCAGAGCAGTGTTTTGCTCTTCTTTCAGTGAAGAAATACTCTGTAATTCCGATAAAACTTGCTCGATAGCCACGCTACCGCTAGTTTCATCGGCTGAAGCCGCCATGTTCTTTAGGCTTAACTGTCGCGCTTCTCGTTGCGTCACACCTCAACCCGCCTCAAAGCCAACGCTGATTGGACGTTCGTTTGGTGAACGGCTCCAAATTTTCTTCAACTGAGAGTCTCCAGACAGATTAGCGAGTGAAACCTTGAAAGCTCGCGCGATCAGGATGGTCTCACGAGGCTAGTTGCTTTCAACTTCTGCTTCAAATGAGTTGTGCTAGTGGATTTGACAGGCAGATATTAAAGACAAATGTTTACAGATCACTTCAATTCAATTTCAATTCAGTTTATTTCTACAGCGCCAATTCACAACACATGTCATCTCAAGGCACTTTACAGTTCACCAGATCATCCAGTCAAATTGATTCAAAGTTTTCTATCTAAGGAAAACCAGTTGATTGCATCGACTCATTGACTCGAATACAATCCCTCACACTAAGCATGCTTGTAGCGACAGTGGCGAGGAAAAACTCCCTTTTTAACAGGAAGAAACCTCCAGCAGAACCAGACTCAGTGTGAGCGGCCATCTGCTGAGGCTGACTGGGGTTCAAGGAGACAGAAGCAGAGACACAAAAAGCAGCTGTAAAAGGCGGCCCCGTCCAGGAAACACACAGCCAGGTGTACAAGCTCTGAGCCAGCTCCCATGCCAGAGGAAGAAGAGAGCACATCCACCCAGTCACAGTCAGAGAAACAGGACTACACTGGAAAAAAGGCCGATCTCAAGCATCTACAAACAAAACTTCCTTTGAGTCACTGGGCTTTCCCCGATCATTTGGCCTTAACCTAGAGACGCCATATGCAGCCACTGTTTCCATGTCTGCCCAACATGGAAACAGTTTGGAGGAGACTGTGCAGCTCCATCACATCACGCTGGACGTCTTCTCGCACCATCTCCGAGTCGGATTTTCAGATGGTCAAACCAAATCGGAAAAATATCCACTTGATAATTGCGTCTACAGCATTAACAACAGAAAACAGCACGAGAGTGAAGGGGCGAAATAATCAGATCATTTCATTTTTATAACCCAACATGGTAATCCAGATTAAAATCCCATTCATTGCCCGGCCCTAGTTTTTCTAACGCAGCCTTTTTACTCTCACCGTGATTTTCTTTGTGTGTAACCTTTTTTTATTTCTTTTGTATTTTCTCAGGAAGGAGCATCTGCTCGGAAAGCCCAGACCCCGGCGCTGCAGCCGGTTCCCCGTCCAGGTCCGTAGTGATTTCTAAGCTCCAGTGTGTTCCTCAGTTATGATCAATGAGCCGTCATCCTGTTGACATTTAAAGAGGGGCAGGAAAATGTTTGGATGTCACAAAATATTTGGATGTTCCCTAAGAAAGAAGTCCTGTTCTGAGATGAGAGAGAATCTTTTCTTCTCTCAATAAGTGAAGCTAATTTGCTCTTCACCTGAAGCTATATTGGAAAACTGAGAGGGGGAAGAAAAAAAAAAACATTGCAGATTCTTTAAACTGATCCCTTCTGACTTCCTTTTATAAGACGTGACCAAATCAAGAGAAATGTTCTGATGTCTGGATTAAATTGCTTGAATGAAGGGGCTTTTTGTCAACAGCAGAGTCACATGGCTGCTAGGCAGCTGGGGAGACACAGGCCTAAACTGCTCCTGCAGTTTTTCCATGTTTTGGTTCCCTTCATGAAGCAAAAAAAGTAGCATCACTTTTATAGAAGAAAGTCACATTCTGGGGATTAACGTCCTAATGTAAAACCATCTTATTTCAGAGTTTTAAACATGTTTTTCTGCAAAAATGTCATCTTTGTCTTTTTAGTTTCACAAGCCAGACCTCCACCAAACCAGAAGAAAGGTACACTACTGCTGTCTTTTCTATGACTATATACATATTATAAGGTGTCTCCTAATCTTCTGTTCCTTTCTGAGGCTTTATTAACCTTTTTTTGCAGGATCCCGAACCCCCATCATCATCATCCCTGCTGCCACCACCTCCCTCATCACAATGCTCAATGCTAAGGATCTTCTGCAGGATCTGAAGTGAGAATAACTCCATACTGAGGAAGGATTAGGTCACAGATATCTGCAATTTGATTATATTTACCCACTTAGAAATTCTCTAAAGTTGGATAAAGCAGTTTTCTACTATTTAATCACCAGATCCTGCTGTTCATTCATAATTAATTTCCCCTTTAAAGCTGCGCTGCGCTCTCATTAAACTGAAAAGCAGAATTTGAACCGGCCATGAAGAAACCTCTTTGCTGTGCATAAGCATAAAACAAGAATTGAATATAGAAAAAAAAAACATGGAAAATACAAAATAAGGGGTAGATGATGTCTGGTTACATTAATGGATATGATGGTCCAGTTAGTAGAACTGGACAGACATTATCAACTAAAGATTATTTCCTTCTTGGTTCCATTTCAGAACATTTTACTGAATAGGGGGGTATTTTTTTACAGCGATAGCGGCGTGTTTAGCTGCAGCAGAGGAGCAGCGTTTGCTCTGGTGGTTTGTTCACAGCAGATGTTATGTGCCATCGATAAAATATTGTCCCCAAAGTTTCACATAAGTTCGTCCCTACCTTAAGTGCCATATAGTACCCTCTCTGTTAACCAGGGATGTTTCAATACAACCTTTTTTATTTTCCAATACAACAGATATTGAATCAATATATCTGCTCAAATCATACATACTTTTATTTAGGGATGCACGATATAATCGGCCCCCTATCGGTATCGGCCTTAAAACTGAATATCGGACATCGGCCACCCCACCGATATTTAACCCGATATTTGATCAGCTTCTGAGTTTCTAAAGTCTAAAAAAAAAAAAAAAAATACTACTTCTTCCTCAAAAACTTATTTTTTTACAGACTTAAAAACTTCTAAAGACGAGGGAAAAAATATTGATACATTAAAATATCACAATATCTTCATATGCTGATATATTGCCATTTAAAAACACCATATCAATCTCTTTTACTATTGAAATATTGCTATATGTCATCGATATGCTACGAAATCCCCTGAAAATTCACAAAATTTTGCCATATTTTTATATGTTGATATATTGACGCGGTATCGATCTATTTTACTACGGAAGAGGATTAGGGCCACTGAAAAAAAAAAAAAAGTTAACTGATTAAAAAAAAAAAAATTCAGTTTAGCATGGGAAAAAAGTGAGAATTCTGACTTTAATCTCAGAATTCTGACTTTTTTCTCAGAATTCTGACTTTTTTCTCAGAATTCTGACTTTAATCTCAGAATTCTGACAATAAAAAAAGTCAGAATTCTGACTTTTTTCACAGAATTCTGACTTTAATCTCGGAATTCTGACTTTTTTCTCAGAATTCTGACTTTTTTCTCAGAATTCTGACTTTTTTCTCAGAATTCTGACTTTAATCTCAGAATACTGACAAAAAAAAGTCAGAATTCTGAGATGAAAGTCAGAATACTGACAAAAAAAAAAGTCAGAATTCTGACTTTAATCTCAGAATTCTGAGAAAAAAGTCAGAATTCTGAGAAAAAAGTCAGAATTCTGAGATTAAAGTCAGAATTCTGAGATTAAAGTCAGAATTCTGACTTTTTTCCCATACTATACTGAAATAAAATTAAAAAAAATCAGTTAACTTTTTTTTTTTCCAGTGGCCCTAATCCTCTTCCGTAATTTTACTAACAAAATCAAAATTTGCAAAATATCACGAGAGTTTGTAACAGAACGATGAAATTTCACGAGATTTTCAAAGTAAAATAGATCGATACCGCGTTTTAAAAAATCAATTTGATATCAGCATATGAAAATATATTTGAGTATATTATTTTTCAAAGTGTCAGAAATGGATAACAAAACTGCTATTTTCAATGACTACTTATTTTTGTCCAGCTTTGACATCGGTATCGACCGCAAGGAAAGTCTGTTGGCCGGCTGACCTGTAGTCCAACTCCAGAATCTAAACACTGTTTGGGTTTCAGGTTTGTTACACCAGATGATAAGAAGAAACAGGGCATCCAGCGGGACAACGAGGTTCTGCTCCAGAGGCGCAAAGACCAGATCCAGCCCGGTGGCACGACGCTGAGCGTCACGGTTCCCTATCGAGTCATCGATCAGCCGCTCAAACTGGCTCCACAGGACTGGTGAGACCTTTTTTAAGATGTTATTTCATTCTCTCTGTGAAGGGAGCTAACATGTCAGTTAAAATTGTGTTTCCTTCTGATTATATCAAAGCTTCTGATACTCTGAACAGTTGATAAAGCATCAGGACTGTTGGAAATAACTAACAGAGTGGGCGGTGTCCGGTTTCAGAAGTCTGTATACGATACAGGTTGCTCCTTTTCTATCTAACACCATCGTGTTTTCTTTGCTTTAACCCCTTATTTGCAGCAACAAGCGCCCGATTAGAAATGTTAACGTATTTTCAAAGAATTAAAAGGTTTACTTATCACTTCAAGCAAAAGGCCAAGATAGTCTCCATTCAAAACAAAATTCCCCTTTCATTCAAAACCACAAACGTACAGTGTAGCTTTTCATTAAAATACTACATACGGAAAAATAAACCCCTTCAAAATGTTAAAGAACAAACGTGAGGAAGGGTTTTAAAAATGTTTTTTTATTAGTTTAAAAGTTTTCTTTTTTTGATCCAAAAAAAGGAAAGTGTATTTCTAAGCAGGTTCAATGAATTTAAAAGGGGAAATACTGATAGAAAGCTTAATGTTTTGTTAATAAAAACATTTAACAGAGTAAGGAGTGAAGCGCAGGTGATGACGCTAAAGTTTTTATTTGTTGAGAAGCTGTTAAACGTTGTGAGAATGTCCAACACTTCTACAACAAGCTCCCTCTCTGTCTCATCATATTGCCTCACAAATAGCTAAAACTGAGCATCGTCAGCTCCTTCACAGCAAGGGGAGTGCATTTAGTTTTTTATTTTTAATTATCGCATCACAAAGCTGCTAAAACAGATTACCTACCTGTGGTTCGGTACGCCCTGATTAATCTGGAAACAGGATTTTCTTCATTTTTGCCATCATCCTTTTTTTTCTCCTGATCTTTTAAAGGGGAACACCATTTATTTTACATTGGGCCCTTGATTTTACGTTATTACATCATTTTCTACTCACCCACATGAGTTTTGTGTCATTTGGAGCCTTTCTGAAGATATTCGTTAGGTTATATCCAAGTAACGTCAGTGATTCGCCTGCATTTTATGAACAGGGTTCCCGCGGGTCCTTAAAAAGTCTTAAAAGGCATTGATTTCTTCAAAATAAAACTAAGGCCTTAATTGGTATTAAAATGTCTTAAATCAGTCTTTCATGGGTCTTAATTTTAAAAAAATCATAAATAGGATTCTTTTTACTATGATTTATTTTTGTAATCGAAATAAAACGTTAAAATTGAAATTTTTAAAAAATTTTTTTTTTTTTATTAACAGCTCGCCATTATTGGTTCCATCCCGCGGAACCAATAAAAGCGTTGTTGCGGCCGGGACATTTGGGAGATGCACCATTTACTTTTTGTAGTAACATACATGAGGCTCAGTGGATTTTATGCAAGAAGTCATTCAAGCTCAGAACGATGGGAATTAAGGCAGTGGAGTCGCACATGCGGAGCACGAAACACAAAGCGTCAAAATGGAGTTACAGAGAAACAGCCGGTATTTCTCAGTTTAGTTCCACCCTTGTCTCTGCAACGCCTCCACTTGTCACCAAATCAAACATACTAAGAAAACCATACAAAGAAAAATAGCTTCAAAAAAGACTTAGCACTGGTTATGCTGTGGCTTTAAAACTGATTTGTTTTGTTCCCTGCTAAAACAAAGTTTGTGAATTCAGTTAAATAATTGTTAAAATATATCTGTCATTTGTGTGTTTTTAGCTTTCTTCCTGTTTGGGAAGCTTTTCAAAATTTGAAACATTAGTGCAGTGGTTTATGTTAAAATAAACCTATGGGTTAAATTGTCGCAAGCAGGTTTTTCTTGTGTTTCTTGTGAATTTGGTGTTAAATTTTTATTTCAAGTGGCATTAAAAAGTCTTGAATTTAACTTGCCTTATGCTGTAGGAACCCTGTATGAATGCTGGCGTACCATAAAGAATAAATTATGAACGGTTTAGTTTGTGCCTTCAACTCGTTGCCCATAGGAAGAAGTTACTTGGATATAACCTAACGAAATATCTTCAGAACGGCTCCAAATGACACAAAACTAATATGGATGAGTAGAACATGATGTAATAACGTAAAATCAAGGGGCCAATGTGAAAAAAAACGGCGTTCCCCTTTAAAGGTAGTGGCAATGGCTTCAGTCAGACTCATAAACATACATAAAGCATGAGAAAGGTGCTTCTTGTGCTTTTTGTTGTTGGGTCATAGATGTAACTTGTAATCTTTCATATCCTTATGTTTGAGGAAAATCTTCTTTAAAGGTCCTGTTTGATCTCATAACACCACCTCAAGTTGGAAATGTTAAACAAAGCAAAGTTTTTGTGAAAACTTAGGCATATTGGTCTTGTGTTGGTTTGAGAGAGAATATAGGAATAGGAATGCTTTTTAATGTACACTGTCCCTGTCAAATAAATAAAATAAAATTAAAATACAGTACTGGGACTTGATCAGCAGCCGATACCGCACCGTGACGTCACAAACCAGTAGGGCAGTAGTGTTATTTAACAAACATGGATGCCTCCAGTAAAGCACATTCAAATTAAGTTACTCTTAATTAAAATAACTTATAATTTATTGAAGAGTATGTAATAATTTCATATTTAAAGTACTTTCAGAAGTTCTAATTCTGACTATGACTGGACTTTTCCTTAAGGATTTTGAATATCTCATGAAATATCTTGATATTTGAAAGAATTTTTTTTTTTTTCTCACAGCCCTAGTATAGAACAATATTATAGTTTAAATGCGTAGAAATGAAATTAAATCCCTTAGCCTTAACTTTGCTTTAAACAGACTATAGTAGTTCTCCATTTTTTGCCAGTGAGAAAATGCTGCAAGGTGAGCCTCGTCTGGACTGAAAAACCGTCACAGTTCAGAACTATTGTATAAATACAAAACCTCATTTTGACCCGACAACAGGAAACCATCTGCTGCTTAGCAACACTGCTGCTTACGTGCTACATTTATAAACCTTTATAGAACGAGGTAATACTGACACAATGATTATACAGCTATGATAACAGATATTTAAAGCAAGCTTTTAAAATCAGCCGTTCATGCTCATTTTTTCATAAGAGTAGAAACCTCTAACAGCCTGCTGAGCCTGGGGCAGCGAGGGATTCAAAGGCAAAGCGGTACCGACCAATCACTGCTGCCGTTTCTGACCACTGAAATGGTATGAAAAGCTGCTGCATTCGGCATCAAAATCCTTCTGTAGCAAACCAGACAGATTTAAAAAATCTAGTCTATATATTAAAGTAAAAATGGAAGGAAATATCTAAGTTGGCATGTTTAAAATATGTTAAAGGATTACTATCAAAAGACGTGACAGTGAGCGCTATTAGCTTCGCAAACTGTAGCATCAGCCTCTCCTAGTATAAATGCCCCTTTAGCTTCTGTCGTAGTCCTGAACTCTGCTGCTGATGTTTCCACATCCTCCGTGCTCCATAGACAGGCCAAAGGTTGTTCTTCTGCATTCCAGTTCGCTTCCCTGCTGTTGCTCCTCTGTAAACTTTTCTCCCCAATAATTATTTCTGTTACTTCCACTGCTATAATGGTTTACACAAACTAACTAAAACCCTTTTTATTTTCTACTATACAACATAAAAAAGCATTTTAGTTTCCTCTCTCTAATCAGAAAAGGAGATGTGGATTATACTGCTGCAACAGCAGATGGACAACAGATTCCCTCAGCAGCCTATTAACTTAAAAAATGCTGTTTGTAATAAGAAAAAAAGGAATAATTACTTCAAAACTGATACATCGTTTCTCTGCAATGCATGCTGGGTTGACTTTCTTACTGGACTGGAAGCTACAGAGTAAACACAGGAAGGCTAACATTATCGCAGTTGTTTTTTATATTTCTGTTGACTTATTTACATTTTTTATCTTAATGTTTTTCAAATTATATTGAAAAAGAGTTTTAGAAATTGCATTTGTCTCAAACTGCATTTCATAGACCCCATTCTCTTCACTTCAAATCCAATACAAACGCTCGCTAAAATGTTGATGCTAACATCCAATAGAAACGCATCATCACTCCTCGCTCAAGAGGAAATCGTCCCTCCGGAAGGGAAGAGAATGTGATTTTAAAACCACAATTTAAGAGAAATTAATTGAAAAAATAAAATTAACAAGCAAAAATGTAAAATATATAATATGTTAAAAGAAATGGGCAGAATAAATATGAAGGATGAAGTTTTAAAAAATGTTGGGGGGGAAAATCAATTCCAAAAAACAGCAGAGTCACTCTGAAAACATTTTATTAAAAAAAAAAGTTTAATTTCTGGATTGCATTTTATTCAAACTTCAATTTACAAAATGTGTTCTTTGCTTCCATAATAATGAATCAACCTTTCAGATCCTTATTGCATATGAAATATACAATCCAATAGCTGCTCGCTGTTTTGAATCACTTCCTGCCACATTTTGTTTCACTTTTGATGAAAAAAGTTGACTAACGCTGCTGTAAGCATACATCAGACCAAAAATAGTCTCTCATGTTTCCTGTTGTGGTGAACATATCAGTGCAAACTGGGGGAAAACTGCTATTTATTCAATATGCTGTGCAGAAAACCTAAATGTTCAGCTTTTAACCAGCAGAGAATCTGAAACCTCTTTCTGGTTGATTTCCTTCCTAGAGTTCAGGTGTGTTTGTTTTTGTCCCTGCAGGGATCGAGTGGTGGCTGTGTTTGTTCAGGGTCCTGCCTGGCAGTTCAAAGGCTGGCCGTGGCTGCTGCCCGACGGATCTCCGGTCGACATTTTTGCTAAAAGTGAGTGAAAAACTCTGTGACATCTGAGATTTAAAGCCTTAGTCAGGGAGCTCACTCATGGCGCGCCTCTATCCCCTCCAGTTCGAGCCTTCCATTTGAAATACGACGAGGCAAAGACCGACCCCAATGTGCAGAAATGGGATGTGACCGTTTTGGAGCTGAGTCGCCACAAGCGCCATCTGGACCGACCCGTCTTCTTGCGCTTTTGGGAAACCCTCGACAGGTGGTTTTTATTTCTCTGTTTGTTTTTTTGAACCAGTTTTCTCAAAATGAAAAACAAACCAAAAATAAAGTGTTTTATTCTTTTTTTTTTTTTATTTAGATACATGGTGAAACACAAATCTCACCTCCGGTTCTGAGCTCAGATCGCAGTTTCTGTCTGAAACTCCCTAAAACTGATTCCGCAGCCTTCCAACTCCGTTCAGTCCAGACGTGTTTTCCAAGAAGCCGAAGCCATCCTCCATCATGTATCCCATTTTACCCGGAGGAAGAGAAGGTTATTAAAACAGCCACTGGACTTCCTGAAAACTCCCCCAGCATTACACTCGGGGATTTTTCCTTTAAAAACCTGTTAAAGGTTTTCCTGTTTCAGTCCCAGTCAGGTTTCCTGGTAGTTTCAAAAAACAAAATGTGTTTGATATTTAAAAAAAAATGTAAAAAACCTACAGAGTTAAAAAAAACAACAAAAAAAAGAAAGATCAAAAACAAGTTACCAAACGACACAAAGTTGATTTGTTTTGGGTTTCCCATTTTTGTTTTTAGCTTTGGCATCAAGGAAATGATTGCTTTTTGGCTCTGAGCTGTTCAGTTTAAGGAAAATACCTTGGATCACGAACGACTAAGAGCTAAGTTAGAGGATAGAGACTCTAATATCTTTTCAATTTGGTGTGTTTGTGCTCAGAATGTACATACATGATAAAACCTGAGAGCCGAAGCTCTTTGAGCAGAGAAAGCTGCAGGTAAGTGATTTGTTTATATGTTAGAAGCCTGCTTCGCCTCATTCGGCTCCTACTTCTGTTTTTCAGACCATCAGCAACTCTACTGGTCATGTGATGACTTTGTCTTCTTTTTTTTTCTTCGTTGATGTTGTGCTAGATGAGAAAATTGAAATATTTGCTTTAAGGCATCACATGAGAATGGACAATAAAGCCCTTTTGAACCACCAATCAGCTGTCGGCTACATAGTTTTCTTTTTCTAATTGTTTTCCACTTGGCAAATTTTTATTAAGTTTCATTTATTTGCTTTATAAAGTTTATAGTCCACCATTTTATTTTCAAAGTAAGTATATTAAAAATGACACTTTGAGTTTATAAAATGTGTCAGGTCTTTTTCAGTAGCATTAACACAACCAGCTGCCTCACCGAATTGTTTGGAAACGATGTCCATATCCCCTTAATCTGAAATTCAATAAACTTTTTAATATCCTACGTCACTCTGAGCACTCCGGTTTGTTGTCTTATCTAATGGGGAAACCTGCTTTTAGCTTTATAAGGCTTTGGTGCATTTATTTATTTTAATTCAGATTAATTCAAAATGCCTACACAAGCTGCCTTGCTGCTTTTTTGCAGCGCTGGAGTAATTATTTTTTTGGACAACTTTTCACTTTTACTTTTTACATTTTTTTTGCCAATTATCTCTACTTTTTACTCCTTACATTCTAAAAATAGACTCAGTTTTGTTTCATTTGACCAAATTTTTATAATGGCCTTTTGTTATTTAAAAAAATATAAAAACCATCCGAATAATTTCTTTGTGTTTGGACTCGGTGCTGCACCAACTTGTCATTCATTACATACCAAAATAAATTGTTTTTCAAGATGATTCTAAATTAAATTTGACACTGTTGCCATTAGTTAAAAATCTAAGAAAATAAAGTCTAAGGAAATTGTCATCCAGAATTGTAGAAAAATTTTCCTTTAGTAATGTAGTGCAGTTACCAGTAAAATAACCATTAGAAATTATTATTTTACTTTAGTAAAAAGCTTAAGTTGATACTCTAACATCTACAGTAGTGATTCATCTAAAATAGTGTTTCCAAACAGCAGGATTTCCTTTTTTTATAGCGTTTTATTGTCATTACACTGTCACAAAACAACGAAATGACCTCTTTACATTTAACCCATCTCGATTTATTCACTGGATTGCTGGTAACCCGTTGGTAGTACGGAGTTGAAGTGAAGCCACTGGCTGCCATATTGGTACTCCCTAGTTAGACCCATTGCAATGTAAACAAAATGTGAACTACAGCATCGAACAAATATGATGTTCTCATTTTCAGGGGGACTAAAGGCTTTTAAAATAAAGATAAATTCATCACTTGCACACAAACTTGCTGTTTCATAGCATAAGGAGATTACTTTAACTTATAATAAAAAAAAAATAGGCACATCACCTTGCATAGTCATTATGAAGTCTATAAATCATGTAATATAACATGGTACAAATTCATCACAACAAAATTAATGTGTTAATTTAGCATAATAATACAGAAGTGCCAAAAGTGCTAAATAAATACATGTATTGATGACACAATTGTTGTTATAATATATTACATATAATTTCATAATTTCGCATCGAGGCTGAATTACAAGTACAAATCTGTTAATGCTATAGTATTTTTCCATTTGCAAATTGCGCATGCATGATGTCATACACTTTTATACTGTCTGTGCATTAACCTTTAAAAATGTTTGAGTTGCTTATATAACATACAATATGTTTCAGCTCATGACTTTTTCAAATGAAGAATACAACAAATGCTACAAAAACGACAGAGTAATCCACTTATATAATAAAGAATTACTATATTGACATTTCACATTGAATAACTTTCTATTTCTAGTTTCTATTTTCTAACGTTAGACACCATGTCAATGGCTAACTCAGTCAATGTCTTTGAGTCGGTCCAAGATAGCCAGACTAATGTTATGCTACACACTATACTATAGCATACGCTGGATTTTCTTGGTTAGTTCATCCACTGAGTAAATTACTTGGGAACGTCTTCCCACACCCGGCAAACTGCTTATTTTTGCAGTCAAATGCAACACATGGAGGGATTTTTACTGTGCATCTTCGTGTAAGTGGGGAGTAACAAGATTCCTTCACTTTTTTCAGGCTATCAGCATTCCAGTGAATCAAATTAGATCAGTGGGCTGCCGTTTTGCAGTGCCTGAGGAGCAGTGTGGGGTTAAGGGTCACTGCTCAGGGACATATGCTCTGTTCGAAAACCTAGGACGCGTCCTTAGAAGGCCAGATTTGAAGGCCGATGACGTCATAGCGCGGCGCCGAGGTCTGGTCAGATTCCAAGAGTCCTCGTTATGCGGTCTTAAAATGCGTCCTTCTTTTTGCCCGATTTGAAGGACGGGTCTGATGTATCCTCAGTATTCTTCGATATCCCAGGATTCATTGCGAGACCAAGCAAGCCAGGATCATAGGAAAGGTTACTTGGCGCCGAACAGTGGTGAAAATTGGAAGTTCAGTTTAATATAATCCAGTCTGTGAATAGTTCGGTCTGAAATGAACGAAAATAGTTGTTTTAATGGTTATAGAGTCAGATATGTGGCGGTAATGTTTGGTTTATCTAAAGGTTTTAATCTGTTACTGTGTAAATGGGTTTGGCTGTAATTTAAGGACAGATTCTAATATATCTGCAGGGTGGGGACTATAAATCTGATAGGATTTTAATCTTTTTATTGCTATTTTGCACAATATGCTTAACTAAGTATTTTATGTTGTTGAATATTTAGAGATTTTGCAGATATATTTTTATACAGACATTGTTTAGATTTACTTATATCTTTCTACCCCTTTTATAGAATAGAATAGAAAATCTCTTTATTTTCCCACAATGGGCAAATTTACAGCAGCAGAAAAATTATTGAAAATGGTCACACAATAGAATAAAGATTAACATAATAGGGAAGAGTTAAAATCTAAACAATAAAATACTGTAAAGTGCTTTAAAAATATAAAACTGGAGAATAAATAACCAATATGCAGCTATGGACATTTTTACAGCAATGGATATTAAAAAATAGCAGCAACATCAGAGATGTGCAGAATGACAGCAGCAGGTTATTTAACTGACTAAGGTTTCTATCATTACATTTGATTGTATTTGTTCCTGCTCCTGGTTGAAATCTTTATTCCACTCTGGATTCTTGCGAGTTTAGCCTTTGTTCACTTGATAATAAAAAATAAATAATTAAACAAATGTTTTGAAAACTTCGGTTTTCATTCTTTTCCTGCTTTGTGTGTCAACTTTCACGGTTGCTAAGCAACAGAGCATAGACCTGTTCGAATTCACAGCCAAAACTACTTTCGGTCTCCTTATTTTCAACGACTTCGAAGGATCCAGTCTAGGTAGACCGCGTCCTTGGAGGATGCAGCCCAGGATTTCGAACAGAGCCTCAGAGTGACAGTCTTTGGCTGTGCGGCTTGAATTCAGAACAACTAGATTCTAAGCTCTATGTCAACACTCCCCAGCAAAAGTGATCCACACTGACTGCCGAAACCCGGGATCGAACCAGGGACCTTTAGATCTTCAGTCTAACGCTCTCCCAACTGAGCTATTTCGGCATGTTCCGCTCGGCCAGTTACATTTCAAAGATCCAACTCAGCCTAGTCATCAGAATTTGACTCCTGACAAACATTCGGTTCCTGCTTCAAACAAAGGTGCTTAATCGCTCTCTAACATATCCTATCTGCCAACAGTTGCCATGATGAGAGAACCCAGTGTTATGTAATGTATCTTATCAGTGATTAAAATGATGAGGCTGATTGGTTTGCTGCCTAGTTTAGGGGGCTTCAACGTTTTCCAGGCCAAGGACCCCCAAACTGATGTTGAGATGGAGCAGGCCCCCTAATTATATATATTGTATGAAATAGTGTTATATCAAACTGGTCACTCTATTACAGTTGGAGTAATGTAACTAAAGTAATTTATTTTTCCCAGGGAATATTAAAGTATTTCTGATTCCTGGTTGATGGGACAGGTGTTGTGAATGAAACGGTGCCCAGCTTGAAAGAGCTCCTGTGTGTCGCTGAATGTGTGCATTGATGACTGAAAGACATCTTCTGCCTCCATTTATCTGTTTACTACAGTGTGTTGAATTCATGTTAATGTGGATTTAAAGACATTTCAATTAGTGGAAAAAATTGCGGTGGGGAATATAAAAATCAACCAAAACTTTCGCGACCCCCGTTCAATACCTCCGTGGACCCCCTAGGGGTCACGGACCCCCTGATGAAGACAGGGGGGTCTCCACTAAGAGCAATTAAATACCGCCTTATCGATTTTGTCATCTGCTTGTACCTGTATATGAAATTTGCTACTAGCATGTCTTCCAGACAACCTGAAAATAAACTATTTACACAATTTCCAGAAAAAACATTTAACAAAATGTTATTTTACATTTTCACAACCTCCTTTTTTTGCTTTTACATATTAAAATAAACATTAAAAAAAACAACTAACTCATGCACTGATTACTGCTTATATATTTATGCATGATGGGCTGTGCACACAATTATGCCTATGATGCTGATTCTGTTCTCACACTATCACTTAAATTACCCTACTGGTTGTCAGGCGATGGCGCCACCTACTGGAAAGACAGTGAAGAATTTATTAACAATGTACTTGTGAAATATTCTGTTTAAAGAAAGAGCCTGTTAAAATATGAATGTGTTTAAGGTCTCTGGGTCCTGCTTCTGAAGCAGAGCCAAGTTTTGAAATCAGTACTTTACGGTCTAACCTGCGATCAGTTAACATGAATAAAATTCAGTGTTTGTAATCTAAATACTTTAATTACAAATAATGAATAGAAAGAGCCAACATGCTAGAAAATGATGCTGTGAACACTAATGAGATTCTGACTGTAAGTTCAGATAAGAAAACATATTTGTTTATTTTCTGAAGGTATTTGTTCTGATTTTCTTGTTTCTCTGTTTTTCTCCGCAGAGAGTCAGTTCTGTTAAACAGAGTGACGGTGGTGATAAATCTGACCTCTGAACACATTGATTGGGAAATCTGGACTCCTTACAAATGTATTTAAGCTTGTTGGGTAAACCCAGGCTTTAAAGAAAACAAACGGTTGTGTAAATAACAGAAATAAAGGCAGTAAACTGTGGTTAGAAGATTAAACAGCCATCCAGATGCAAAGATGATTCTCAGGTGTTGCAGTTAATTCAGCTTCTTCATTACTAAGCTAAAAATGTAGATTTGATTTAATAAAAAAAAAAGAATTTACTGCTTGATTGTCACTGATTACAGGAATCTTTTTTATTTGTTTGCTGTAATACTGGCAGAACTTCAGTGCGATGTTACAACGTGTTTACTCCAAATTTCCTAACCCTGGAAATCTGCCCTGAATAATTATTAACTACCTCCAACGAGCCGACATTTTTATTCTAATCCACTGTGCAACTTTCTTATTTCTGACAAAATGTGTGTGAGGTATCTGGGATTATTTCTACTTCTGGCTTGGCTTCCAGACCTTCTACAGGGTGAGAACATTTCCTCCTGCTCTAGGGTAATTTTACCTGTTCATTGTTGATGAAGAGAACATTGTATTGACTGATTCTGTTCTTTTTTTGTCTTTTCTTTATCCTCACAAACAGCGGAGCTGCCTTGTAGCCCCCCTGAACTCCCTGACGGCTATTTTGTCCCAGAGAAAAATACATATCCTCATGGAGAAACACTGACTTATAGCTGTGAAGCTGACTTTAAACCAGTGGTGGAAGGCTGGTGGGCAACAAGCAAATGTCAGAACGGCAAATGGTCTCATACCCCTCAGTGTATAGGTGAGTACTGGATCCCTCAAATTACCTTTTAAGTTTAAAAATGATCAAAGTGGCTTATTAACATTAACTAAATTATGTTAACACTGCTTTATTTCACTGTGGAACAATTAAAAAGTCCTTACAGTTATTCATTTTCTGAGCAATGGACCTAATTTCCACATCAAGGCTACATGTAGATCACACACACATGTCCAGATTAAGATTAGATCAGGCACTTAAAGAATTTACATGTAACCTTCAATATGAATATCATATTTATAAGTCAAGCTAAAGCAAAAAGTGAAAAACAATTTAATCCTCTGTGAAGATACTCCGGTATTACTATTGTAGAGATAATATCAATGTTTAAAAAAATCCCTGCAATGCTTTTTACCAGATGATGGTAAATATGGAAAAAACTTTCCAGAGCCGGAACAAAATCATAGAGGGCCTCGAAGTAAATTAAAATGTAAGGCTCCACTTACATACTGATGTCCATTTACGTCAGTATGTTTTCTTTTTTTAACAAAAGCTTTAAGGACTAGCTTTATATTTAGTTTTATATGAGTTACAATAATTTGATGAATCAGTAATTTTGAGTGAATTATTTACTCTTTCAAATGTAACTTTGTTGAATGAAAATAAAGCTTGGTTTAAACATAAATGTACGACATGGTTTATTTTGAAAGAGATATTGTGAAAGAAAAATTACTGCCCTCTAGTGGTGAGATTGGGGTATTTCACTCAAACGTACACAAACCTACATCATACCCTCATAGGTATTGCGGCAACGGTAGCCTCTGTGTGTCAAAAAGCCTCAACAAAGCAAGTGTAACCATGTCATCCCAAGTAAAGTCTCTACTAGGGTTGTCAAAAGTATCGATACTCAAAAAAGCATTGATACTGAAACGTTGTATCCGGATACAATACTCATTTTCAAAAGTATCGATACAGCCATCTAAAGTGCAGAATAGTGGGAAATGCACTTTCTGAACACTGTGTGATTGAATAATTCTGTTTCAGACTTTTTTTTGTAACAGGTGCAGCTGCTGAGAATTATTTTTGTTTAACTGGTTTGGCTAGTGTTATTGATATGTGTTTTTTTTCTTGTGGTATCGAAAAGGGTATCGAGTATCGAATATTTTACTTAGTATCGGTATCGAGTTGAAAAGTTTAGTATCGTGACAACCCTGGTCTCTACTAGCTGAGATTTACAAAAAGCCAGCCTTCACCGCAGCTTTGAAAGCCACTAAACCCACTTAAACCTACAATTCTGTGGGACAAGGCTGTTTGCATCTAGTGTTATGTTTTCTATGGTAGCAAGAAACACAATTTAATTAAACTGAATGGAAAAAAAGTTAGCTTTACTCAACTTTAGGCAGTACAGTTCACTGACTTGTCAAGGAGAAACATGGTAACTTCAGTGTTTCGTTTAAAACGCCTTCCACCTGGAGAAGGCTTGCCTGATGTTTATTCTAAGTATCGTTGATTTTTAAAGTCGTAGAGAAGTCATATTTAAATTTCAAATAATTCTGGCTCAAACATGGATATAAATGTACTTTTTATCAGACGATATTGTCCCAAAAGTTAGAACATTTCTATTTCTATTTCTTAAAATCTGTGTTGTTGTTTTTTTCGTTGTCTTATCCAGGCCAGTTAGTTATTCGTCAGCCTGAACACCTAAATTCGGCCAATCATATATCAACGTTCATCTGTCAATCAAATATTTTCGGTCATAACATCTTGATTCATATGTCGCAGCTAATATACGCAACGGTTGAAATCAGAATCCTTTCCTTTCCCATTGAGTTCCGTCCCAGTGTTCACGGGGATGGACGTCTGTGTCTTCGGCAGACGTAGAGCTAACAGAACTGGCAGCGTTGCAAGGCAAGGGCTCAAACATGTACCGTCCTTTAAATAAAAAATGTATGAAGACCTCTGATGCTAAACTCTCCTCCTCTTGCATGTTTCCGCTGTCCATAGCGTTCCTTGACAGTGTCGTTTCTAAGTCACCAATTTAGTGCTACTTGGTCCCAATGGAATTTGCCGTTAGAAACCTTCTAGCACTAAGTTGCTGACTGGTTAGCAACGATGTTTCCGGCAACAACCAAACTTGCTTGCAAACCTTCAGCCACAACAATCTCGCCCCATTGATTAACAACCAATTCACTTTATTCACTCATGTCGGGCACCACTCGGGAGAATTCGGAGCTGCAACTGTTGGAACAGCTGCTTTCCTACGACTTTAAAAAGTATCTGTATCGTATTGATATCGGCGATACTGACCCTGTATTTACTTCGTATCATATTGATTAAAAATTCCCGGTATCGCCCACCTTTACTGCGCAGTAATTCAGTGGCAATTTCATGTGTCTGACAGGAAGAGAGACGTGGTTTCAAAGTAAAACGCATCTGCTTTGGGGGAAAATACAAAGTCAAATCTGTTAATCGCACCGGGAAAGAGTCAGTTTTGGAGTCGAACATCGCGTATATAGCAAGTAGGACAGACTCATGCAAAGAATATGAATGAAAAATTTAAAAAAGAGAATACTTTACCCATGATAGGAGTTCATGAAAGAAAAGTGATAAAGTAGTGATCATCTTTGAGCCCCAAAAAACACTATGTAACAAAAAGCAGACAGAGCAGGTAAACGCAGGGTCTCTTTCTCTCTTCTTATGGAAAATGTGTTTAGATTACCGTATTTTCGCGAGTATAAGGCATTATGAACGTCTTTTTTTCCCCTCAAAATGTGCGGCGCGCCCTATGTGTGTTGTTACTGCGGACGTTGTTGAGACCACCATGAGAACGTTAAAGGGGGAAGTGTGGGCGTGGATTGGCTACCACGCAAATGGACAGAAACTGCCGCCTATGGTGATTTTTAAGAGAAAGACTTTTCCTAAAGAGACTTTTCCAGCTGGAGTCGTTATTAAAGCAAAAGAAAAGGGCTGGATGGATGAGGAGATGATGAAAGAGTGGCTGAGGGAGGTGAATGTAAGGAGACCAGGTGGTTTTTTCCACGCATCACCATCGCTGTTAATCTGTGACTCCATGCGTGCCCATCTCACAGCCGATGTGAAAAACATGGTGAAACAAATGAACGCTGTGCTTGCTGTGCTTGCCGCTCGACATCGGTGTGAAGCGGCCGTTCAAAGTAAGGCTGCGAGCGGCGTGGGAGCGATGGATGACCGACAGAGACCACAGTTTCACGAAAAGTGGAAGGCAGCGCCGGGCAAGTTACGCCACAGTTTGCGGATGGATTGTTGATGCTTGGGCTAACGTGTCTGCTGGCTCTGTTGTTCGAGCTTTCGCAAAAGCCGGCATCATTTCTGAGGAGCCGCACGGCACGGAAAGTGACTCTGACAGCGAAGAAGGGGAAATTGGCATGTCTGATTTAGCGCAGCTGTTTAATTCAGAAACAGAGGATGATGACTTTGATGGGTTTGATTAATACTTTGTAATAAATACATGATACTCATACATACAACATACATACTCAGTTTTGCTCCCGCTCTATTTTTAAATACGCAGTAGAGGCATTTAAACGTAGTAGAGGATACGTACCGGTATATAAAACCCGCGCCCTATAATCCGGTGCGCCTTATGGTCGTGAAAATACGGTATGTGTAATCTGAAAATAATCTTAGTAGTTCTTCATGTACTGTAAAATAAAAAAAATAAAAATAAAACAATCCACATGTCACTCATATTAAACAAACCAAAAACAAACAAAATTCATATCCTGTCAACTGAGTTTTAGAACCCTCTCTGTTAATATTTAATTGTCTTTGAAAAAAATGCCAATCAGTCTTTAATAAGATCCTCATCAAACTGACATGCAATGTTTGTTTTTAAAATCTAATGTGCCTAACAGACTTGGTGAATGATTTAAAAAAAAAAAAAAATTTTATGCACAAAACTTCGACAAAATCTGATTAAATCTGGCAATAAAACAACGTGATTGGCTGTAAGTAAAGCACAGACAGCAGACACTCCGAGTTAAATGAATAAAAGCTGCAAGCAACCAGGTTAGCTCTGGGAAGAATATTACTACGGTGACTGAAACAGAGGTTGAGGAAACTCTAAACTTTCCCATATTTCAGGTTTAGAAAACGTAGTTTTCAGTAAACCTGCTTCGTGAAACGGACCCCTGGGCTATATTCAAGAAGATCATTTTATTCTGACTCAGTAACATAGCAAAAGTCAAATAAAGAAACGTAATAATGCATTTTACTCGTCAGTTTAGAAATGTTTGCTTTCCTTATTCATTACATTATACAGACAGTTTAACTCACTTTAGTAATTCAATTCAGTTTATTTATCTAGCACCAAATTCACAACACAAGTCATCTCAAGGCACTTTACAGTTCAACCAGATCGTCCAGTCAAATTGATACAAAGTTTTCTATCTAAGGAAAACCAGTTGATTGCATCGACTCATTGACTCGAATGCAAACCCTCACACTAAGCATGCTTGTAGTGACAGTGGAGAGGAAAAACTCCCTTTTAACAGGAAGAAACCTCCAGCAGAACCAGGCTCAGAGAGCAGCGAAGAGAGCACATCCACTCAGTCACGGTCAGAGAAACAGGACTACACTGGAAAACAGGCAGATCTCCAGCATCTATAAACAAGGGTGTTGCTGGAAGCAGCACAGCTGATATTTCTCTCCATGATGGCGTCACTGCCAAACAGCAACAGACGAGGCAAAGCTACAATAAGAAAAAGCAGAGAGAGCAGAACGTTAGAGATTGAACTAACAGATTCTGCAGTTAGGAGAACAGAGAGAGAATGAAGCAGAATGATGAAATGGGGGTCCCTATGTCCTCCAGCAGTCTAAGCCTATAGCAGCATAACTATAGAGATCGCTCAGGATAACCTGAGCCACTCTAACTATAAGCTTTATCAAAAAGGAAAGTTTTAAGCCTAGCCTTAAAAGTAGACAGGGTGTCTGCCTCAGGGACTAAAACTGGTAGTTGGTTCCACAGGAGAGGAGCCTGATAACTAAAAGATCTGCCTCCCATTCTACTTTTAGAAATTCTAGGAACCACTAGTAAACCTGCAGATTGAGAGCGAAGTGGTCTGTTAGGAACATAGGGAACAATCAGATCTCTGATATCAGATGGATCTTGGCCATTTAAGGCTTTATATGTGAAAAGGAGGATTTTAAATTCTATTCTGGATTTAACAGGAAGCCAATGAAGAATAATGAGGTATAATGAGGCCTCACTATTACTGAGCGCGGCCACACTGCTTTTAAAATAGTTCTTCAATACATTTTTTCTTCCAGATAAAAACTCCTGCCTTCCACCAACTATTCCCAATGGAAAATTAGAGGAAATGGCAACATCTCAAAATGGTTGGTATGAAGAGAACCTGAACATCCGGGTAACCTGTGAAGATGGGTTTTCTCTGAAGGGCAACCCCAGAACAGCCAGATGCCAAAATGGAGAATGGTATCTGCCTGTTTGTGAAAGTGAGTATACATCAGCTCCTGGAACTTGAACTGAAAATACTTTGTTTAAAATATATAGCAATTATTGTATGTCTTTATTTTACAGGAAGTAGGAATACATGTGATGAGCCGGATCAAATCCCTCATGCAGTTATTATCAATCAAGCACCCAAAGAAGTGTACGCCCATAATTCTGAACTCCAGTATGAATGTGAAAATGGATACACCACAGGTCAACCAATGAACAGAAGAACTATAACTTGCAATCGTGGAACCTGGACTTCAGGTCCTCCATGCAGTAAGTAGAAAAGGGTATAAGGTAATCTAGTGCAGAGGTGAAAACATACTGGAACTACAGCAAGAGGATCACTTAGGTATTACCAGTGGATCAATGGTGACATAAGCAGCAAATCTCTTCCTCTGTGTCTTAAATTAGCTTAAATTAGTATTTTATGTCCTTGTTGATAAAGTCTGAGCACTGTCACTCTTGATGAGTTTTAGTGTTAAGGAACTTTTAGGCCCCGTCCACACGAAGTCAAAACGAACATGAAACGCTAATATTTTCCAGAACGTTTGTCGTAAAGACGTAGACGTAAAATAAATGTGATCGTCCACACGAATGCATGAAAACGCTGCAAAATGTATGCCAGGCCTGTAAGTGGCGCCAAAGCGAAAATAGGCGACGAAATGTTGGGCATGCGCACTAATATTTATACATGGTTGCCCTGCGGGTCTATTTTCGTGGTTCAGTCAAATTCAGGTGCTAAAGTATGTCATCGATATTGCTCTGTTCTTCCTGGAGATATTCCAGAAGAAGAAGATTCTGTTGTAAGCCCGACAGCAGGGTGAGTAGCATTAGCAGCAACCATTCAACACAGTACGGCGCCATTGTTGTTGTGATACTGTGTCGCGCATGCGTGTTTAGAGGCGACGCTATGACGCATGCGTGTAAAAAAAAAAATGCAGTTAGAGCTTAAAGATGGAAACGCTAAAACGGCATTTCAAAATCTTCCCACTCTGAAGGCCTGATAAAAAAAAAGATCGTTTACAGACCCCCGAAACGCCGGCTTCGTATGGATGAGAGGCTGGTTTGGTGAGAAATTTGTGCGTTTAGGCCAGGGTTCGGCTTCGTGTGGACGGGGCCTTAAATTGGTTATGTAAAGATCTTTTAGCAAATAAACATGATTTGTTACAGTTACAGCTCTCGCTGTATTCAGTATGACTCTACATGAGTTAAATAAAGCAATCACTGAATTCCTGCAAGCTGGAAATGATGGCATTTATGTTTGTCACCATTTTTTCTTCTCCTCTGCCCTAAGCAGCTGAGCAAGACGGTGTTCAACACTTCAGGAGAGGAAGGAGTGGTTCTCTCAGCATGTTATTTTATTTTTTATTAACATAAGGCACCACAGAAATAGACAGGATTAAAGAGAAGAAATTTTTTTTCATAGGGTTAAAGTTTTCTGGCTTTCATGTTTGACAAACCCTCTAAGATGTAAAGGAGTGAAAACTTGGACAGGAGTCAAAAAATGCATCAGCAAACTGATTAGGTAATTTGTGAAGGATCATTTTAACTGATATTTTTTTCTCTCTGTTGTTCTTTTTTTTTCCTGCAGGTAAATCCTGTATGTTGGATCCAACTGAGGTCAATATTCGCTCACCTTCACCTATACCCCTAGAGGAGGGAGAGGAGAAATACATTCCTTGTAACCGGGAGGGCTACTTATTGCATGCTAGGTGCTCTGGTGGAAGGATACAGAGCACGGATTGTAAGTTTAAGAGCAACATTATATTTTAACTAGGCATAATATCTAAACATTTTGTTTAAAGGTTTTAAACAGAGCTGCACGGTGCAAATAAACATCTTTTAGCAAATAAACATGATTTGTTACAGTTACAGCTCTCGCTGTATTGAGCTGGGTAGCTCTGGCACTTATGAATTTCAGTGTTTTACTGGGCTACATTCATACAAATAGTGAGGATATTAGGTGAATTAAATGAAGGGTGAACTTAGCTTGTGTGTAAACCATCCTTTTAAATTGCTTGTGCTAAAAATATCTTTTAGCAAATTAACAGTTTTTGTAACAGTTACAGCTCTTGCTGATATTTAGTATGACTCTACATGAGTTAAATAAAGCAATCACTGCATTCCTGCAAGCTGGAAATGATGGCCTTTATGTTTGTCACCATTTTTCTCTCCTCTGCCCTAAGCAGCTGAGCAAGGCATCAGTCAACACTTCAGGAGAGGAAGGAGTGGTTCTCTCAGCATGTTATTTTTGTTTTTATAAACATAAGGCACAACAGAAATAGACAGGATTAAAGAGAAGAAAAAATGTTTCATAGGGTTAAAGTTTTCTGGCTTTCATGGTTGACAAACCCTCAAACATGTAAAGGAGTGAAAACTTGGAGAGGAGTCAAAAAACTCTTTCATACATTCAGCAAGCTGATTAGGTAATTTGTGAAGGATCATTTTAACTGATATTTTTTTCTTTCTTTGGTTTTTTTTTTTTTATTCCTGCAGGTAAATCCTGTATGTTGGATCCAACTGGGCTCAATATTCGTTTATCTTCACCTATAGCCCTAGAGGAGGGAAAGGAGAAATACATTCCTTGTAACCAGGAGGGCTACTTATTGCATGCTAGGTGCTCTGGTGGAAGGATACAGAGAACTGATTGTAAGTTTAAGAGCAACAATACATTTTAACTTGGCATAATATCTAAACATTTAGTTTAAAGGTTTTAAACAGAGCTGCACGGTGACGCGCTGGGTAGCTATGGCACTTATGAATTTCAGTGTTTTACTGGGCTACATTCATACAAATAGTGAGGATATTAGGTGAATTAAATGAAGGGTGAACTTTGCTTGTGTGTAAACCATCCTTTTAAATTGGTTATGCTAAAAGTATCTTTTAGCAAATTAACAGTTTTTGTTACAGTTACAGCTCTTGCTGATATTTAGTATGACTCTACATGAGTTAAATAAAGCAATCACTGAATTGCTGCTTAGTTATGCAAGCTGGAAATGATGGCTTTTATGTTTGTCACCATTTTTCTCTCCTCTGCACTGAGCAGCTGAGCAAGGCATCAGTCAACACTTCAGGAGAGGAAGGAGTGGTTCTCTCAGCGCCAGGTTATTTTATTAACATAATGCACAGCAGACAGAAATAGAAAGGAATAAAGAAAATAAAATATATCTCATATTGTTAACATTTTCTGGCTTTCATGGTTGAAAAAAACTCTGAGATATAAAGGAGTGAAAACTGGGAGAGGAGTAATGAAGAACTCATTCATACATTCAACAAACTAATTAGGTAATTTGTGGATGATCCTTTTAACTGTCTATTTTTTTTTTTTTTTTATTCCTGCAGGTGAACGCTGTATGTTGGATCCAACTGGGCTCAGTATTCGTTCATCTTCACCTATAACCCTAGAGGAGGGAAAGGTGAAATCCATTCCTTGTATCTGGGATTACTACTCATTAAATGCTAAGTGCTCTGGTGGAAGGATACAGATAACGCGTTGTAAGTTTAAGAGCAACATTATATTTTAACTAGGCATCATATCTAAACATTTCATTTAAAGGATTTAACCAGGGCTGCGCCGTGATGCGGTGGTAGCTCTGTTTTCTCGCAGCATATTGTATGTAGGTGTAGAGTAACACTCATGGATCACATTTAAATCCTCTCTTTTTATTGCAGACGAGGGCAATAAGAGTTATAAGTGGAAGTGGAAACAGAGATCACACAAATCCAATATTTATGCAGTTCAATACATTAAAGACTTAATGAGCTGATATAGTACAATATTTTAACATTTAGGTATAAGACACATAAAACCAGTCTACCAAAAAATGCTCAGAATAAAATTTCTAAAAGAGAAAGTAAGAACAACTTAAAAGAAACTATTTTCAAAAAGATCCTGGTATAGAGCTGTGATGATGGAAAGATGTATTTCTAATAAAGGTGTTGATTTGTTGAACAAGTTTATCAGCGAGTTCAAACAACCAGAATGTATTCTGGTTTTAAAATAAACTTGAAGGTTGTTATGATGAGTCGATACGACAGTGGATAGGCTGATGTATAGTGGTTTGTATGTATATAGTGTGTATTGGTGAACATGTTCCTTACTCTGTCATCATTACTCAATTCTGGCATCACAGCAAACTAAAATAGACAGATCAACAGCCAGAAACCCTCCTTCCTTTTATCCTTTCTTTTGTTCTTTCAGGAGAAATAATGTCAATTAAAACCTGCCCTAAACCTTGCAAACAAACCTCAGCAATGTAAACACGATCTTCTAGTTAAAATTGAAGAATCTTCTATAAAATGTTTTGGTATTTTTCCAAATCTGCAGGAAAACCTAAATAAACAGAAGGCCGTACAATAACAGACTGTAAAACATGAACGGTCTTAATTTTACAAATCAGTCCTTTAATAAATAAATAACAAGAAATCATAAGAGTTTAATTCAAAATATAATCTGAAAAAATTATTTTATTTTATCAAGCGGATGAAGTTGATTTAAGCAACTAAATATTTATTTCTCTGTTTGATATTTTTTAGGCTGCCATAGGGATGATTTACGTCAGGTAAGTGATGGTTTTGATTTTAATTATTTACATCATCTTTAAACTATTTGTCTGTTAATATGTAACTCACACACTTTGTTTATTTCTTGTTTCTCCTTTTTAGGGATACTGCAGAATTGTCTGAACAATATAAAATCCTTTACCCTTGGATTTCCTCATAACTGGTGATGAAACAACATCTATATGGTTTTCTCAAACAAAATTTGCTACAAAGCTGATTTTGTTTTCATTAAACTAAGTGTCAGTGTTTCTTTTCACTGCTGGTTGAAAGTAAATATGAGATTCTTGACTGTGGTTAAAGTAAAATACTTCAATAAAATTTAACTGTATCAATTTAATTGTTTGCCCTCAAACTTTGTAAAAACGGTCCTTTGCTTGATTTAGATTAATCTATTGACTAGAAAGCTTCTGTTGGTGAAAGCTATAGCTGAGTC